CTTTTTTTTTTGTGTGATCCAACGATAAAAAACTCGATGAGTGCAATATGACCAAATCTTCCGATAACCTCATATGTCAATAATTCAAGAACGAGCGAGACCTTTCATCGAATTTCATCAAAATCCATAGCAATTTTACATAAAATGCTTCAAACTTTGATATGTCTTTGCAATTTTCTTGCAGCTCAACATTTGGACAAAAACCTATAATATGCTATGGCTTTGCTTTAAGTTGGTTTAGGAGTTGTCCAATTTTGTGGTATTGGGCCAATGTCATAAATGACCTCTCTATGGCAGGACCAAACCAGCTTTATTGCCTCCGGTGTCCCTATTCCGGCTCCTCTTGGATCACCCGCCGGCCCAAACCTATATAATAACACATTCGTTGTATTCAGCCAATAAAAAAAAAAAAGAGAAAAACGAAAATAAAAATCGTTCGATGATACTTTTTGTTACTTACCAATGATTTTGTGGAGCTCCGGTAGTCCTTGCTCTAAGTCCAGCATAAGTAGTTCCATTAACAGAATTCCCAACAACCTCCTAAAAACATCGTTAATTTAATTAACAACACCATGTAAAAGAGAACACAAAAAAAAAAAATAAAAAAATCGAGCTTTTTATTATCTTTACCTGCACGAACAAAGGATCGTTCGACACAACTGCAGCTGTTAAGTGCGCGTGCATTCTTTCGAGAGCGTTTAGAACAAGCGGAAGCTCGTCGTGTTTGTATTCCGTGACAATCTGAATTAAACGACATATATAGATATATAAAACAAAATAAAAACGAATTTAGCGCATGACTTGATGATAAATATTACACTATATTACCTGGAATGGGCCAAAGATTTCTTTTGTCACGAGATCAAAATTGTTCTCCTTCAGAATTTCTTCGAGTGGAATAAAGATGGCAGTAGGTTCGATGGCTCCGTACACTGTAGGAATAGAATGGTTTTGTAAAGCTTTACCGCCAAACAAAACGCGCGATCCTTTTATATTGAGCAATTTTTTCACGTGATCAAGCATTGCTTCAGTTGTGACCTGCATGGATAATAAAAAACATAAGAAACTTTGTCTGAACGACTCACGGTAAGAACAGGGCCAATAGTGAGATCGTTCAGCTTTCTTCTAGAAGCAAGACCCGAAAGCTTATTTATGAGTGAACTTTTACCCCAATTCTACACGAGCATAAATTAATCCCATTGATGTGAGAAATAAGATTTTAATTCAAAGAATATTTAGAATAAATTATGCAATTTGGAGATTAACCTCGTGCATGAACAGCAAGGATTGAGCCGAACACTTTTGGCCGCTACATGCATAAGCATCTTGGTCACAAACCCAAGCAATATAATCCTCCTATAAAAGGAAAATGAAAAAACGAGTAATATTGACTGAAATTATGCCTGTAATTAGCTATGTACAAGCACATATTATATACATAAGAAAGAACAAACTTTTGTAACCTCAGTGTGTGTAAATTTTCAAAATGTAAGCTGGTTTTTTGAGATCAGGCAAAAGCTCAAAGTTATTTTTTATTTTAATTATCTGTTTATAAAAAGATATGTTATAAATTACCTCATGGACATCTGGCCCAAGAATCTTCCAGTCAAATCCAGCATCTTCGAGTTTGATTCGACCCTTTAGATCAACAGCTAATTTCTCTGCAACTCTTGAACTACCGGTGAATAGAGTCATGCGTGGTTTTGCCTGATGATAATACAATTTAAATCATGAAAAATTCATATAAATATACAATATTGTGAAATTTACTAGATATGACGGACGAGTATTTTGAGATGATGAAAATCGAAGAACTAACCTCCAAGAGAAGTTTGTTCATTGCTTTCCCATCAGAGTTTATGAAATCAACATCTTCCGAAGGAAGCCCACACTCATGGAGCAAACGAAGCATTTGTTCCATAACAACAGATACCTTTAAAAGTGAAATAACAAAAACGTATTTAACACTTGAAGTTAGTGAGATGAATAATGAGATCCCCATCTTTTTCTTTTTCTTTTACTTTTTTTTTTTTTAATTTCAGTCATTAAGTGTACATTTTTACACAAGTTACCTTGCTGTCAACTTTAAGCAGTGGCTTGTTTCCCATATATAGAGCGCCCATGAGTTGAAGCACTGGAATCTCTAACGGAAAATTGAAAGGAGTAATAATTGTGACCTAAAATGGTGACACAAGGTAAGAATTAATCGAAAATTCAATAGATAACTAGCATTTTTTCACAGAATGAAATTCTATCAGAACAAGAAAAAAATGTAAACCATGGTTTATCGAGTGTTGACTTACTGGACCATAAGGCCACCTAAAGCCATGGCTCTGTTGACCCAAATGATTACCTGGAACACCAAATGACCTAGCCAGAAAACGAACCTGCCAAAGTGAATTCAGATGACAGGTTAACATCTTATTCCAAAAATTTATGAAAAAAGAACAAAAAAAAAGAACAATCTGAAGCATGGAAAGGGATATAACATGAAATAACACCCCTAAGATGAAAAATATTTTATCTACTCGTGTTCTTAATGTTAACACTACTTTTACAATGATTGAAAATGCATCCAGGGAAAGAAGAACAGTGATAGAACCAAACTAACTTCCAAAGTCATAAAGCATGAGTATTAAAATATGTATGAATTCTGCATATTGTTTTCAATAATTACTTAAATTACAATTCTAATAAAACCACGAAAAAAAATAAAAAATTGCTACCTGATCGCCACAGAAATTTTCTAGAAACTTCTGTGTGACATAAACTTCAGCGAACGCTTGTTGGTAACTCTTCGGAGACACCCTTTGTACTAGCTTGGCAAAGAAATCAGAAACCTAGAAGCACAAGCTCTTTTTATTTTTCAAAAAAATATTAAATATAATTTTCGGAAATACCAAGATCTTTATCAATATAAGACATCATCACCTCAGGCAGTGATAGCTTATGAGCTGCTTTTGTGGTTACATCTCCAAGCATCAGGTACCTGAAAAAAAAAAGCCGAAATTCTCATAGTACAAAATAATAAAGGTACAAAACTGCAGAATAAATTAAACAAGCTAATGTTAACCTCTCAGGTGATTTAAATGGATTGTGAAGACCATGTTTGGGACAACTGGACAAGCTCTCGACAAAAGGCTGCATCATTTATGATGAGTTGGGGGGATTTCAATATTAATCATTGTTTTTGAGTAAATATTAGAATTGTGTGACAAAAAAAGCTGCAATCAGGAGATCCAGGACACATACCTTTATTTCCTTCTCATCAACTTCAGAAACCTTAATAAACAGTTCGCCATTTAAAGGATCAGGAATATTGTTCCAACGAAAAGATTTTGTCCAATTACCCTGGACTAATAAAGAGAAAAGGAGAACATTCATTCTCTTTCCCACATAGAAATCAGAAAGAAGAAGTGTAAAACAAAAATGAACTCTTGAAACAAGGGCAGTAATTGCATTTAAGTTTTACGGTATCCTTTGGAGAGGTCACTACCACATTAGTTATGCTCTTTTCCCATGAAAACACATGAATAATTTCACCTTTTCTTTCTTTTTTGGCTAAAAAAGGGAAACTAAATGACAAAAAAGGGGGGACATAAAATTTGGATAATAGTCATTCGAAACTTTTTGAATATAAGATGACCGGAAAGCACGAAGAAGAATTTTTCGATTTATAAATCGACTTTCAAAGGACAAACTTGCTTCAAGATTTTTATCGAGTACCCAAATTCAGAACTTCAGCTGGCTGAGCGCCTGATATTTCTTCGGCTTTCACTGTGGCAAAGGCTAGTGAATGAGCAAACCTGCATCAACCACACAACAGCTCAAGTTGTTCATCAGAGTTCCAAAATATGATTGATCGTTTTATAAAGCGGTGTTTTTCCACCTCATATCAAATCCCCGGCAAATGATAAAATTCAATCGACTATCTAAAAAAAAGAAAGAAAATCAAAATTTCAATCGACTATCAAAATATTTTTTACTTCATTTTTAACTCAACATCAAATCCCTAGCAAATGATAAAATTCAATCGACCATAAAAAAAAGATTCAATTTTTCACCACTTTAACAGTCTCATGCTCGGATTCATCGAAGCCATCAAAATTTTGAACACAAACAAGCAAACCCAAAACCCTCAATCCCTTACCATAAAAGTAAAACCCCAAACCGAAAATCGATTAGTACCTTGAAGCACTGAACGAGCTGAACCAGTTCAAAGAAGCGCATTTGCTTTGCAAGCGCCTCGAAGCCATTAATCCGTACATTGGTCAAAAGTGAAAAACCACGCACGGCAAATATACACTCGCAAGCCACAAACTCACCTCGGACATTTATAAGGTCTTTCTAATAACGGATTAGATAAGAATTAGATAAGGTTTTGAAGAGGTTTACAGAGATTAAGGAGGATTGTGCTGATTAGTTTGTTGAATTTGTTTTTCCATTTTCTGTTATTTTATCAAACTGCTTCCATTTCGACTCCCGAGAATTGAGTGATTTGAGCTGAATGCGTCTCTTGGGCCATTTGTACAGTCTACTTAAGAGTTGTGGCCCATAATAGATGGCCCATGAGAGTTGACTCTTAAAACATTGAGGGCTTACTTGTTTAGAAGGAAAAACAAAAATATATTCAGCAGGGAAAGTGAGATAAAGACAGAAGATGGATAGGTTTTAAAGGATGATTTGCACTTGCAGCAAGGAAAGTGAAATAAAATAGGAAAGGATAAGATAGATATGAGGAACGAGAAGTCTGATTACATCAACCAATAAATTGGAGAAAGAACTTTACAATATTGAAATTGTTTTTTTTTATAATTTGTAAAATTAAAAACTTACTACATATTACCATTTGTTAGTTATTTAACCTAAAATATTAGCTCAAGTTTGAAAAGACAAAAGTTGGAAACGAGTTGAACTGAGCTTGAGCTCCTGACACTCGATCTCGGGTTGGTTCCCTTATCGTGAAGTTGAGATAGATTCGTTAATTAAATTAGCTCGAGTTTGACTCGTCTATCAAACGAGTCAAGCTCGAGCTCAAGTTTTAACGAGTTGAGTCGAGCTTATGAGCGGCTCATTTTGTTTAACAGCTCTGCGGTAAAGCAAAATTGAGGCAAACTTATAAGGTCAATGCTCGACTAGACTCGTTTGCAGTTAGTTAATGTTCAGGCCAGTTCTTATTCCATAGCCTAGTTGGTTAACGAATTGAGCTTGTTCAAACTAGAAAATATGAAGTTTTATGTAAGTTTTTTCGTAGCTTTGCTCGTTAAAGCTCAAGTTTGGTCCATTAAGGTTTGAGTTTGACTAGTTAATATTGATAAAAGAGCTTAACACAACTCGCTAAGGCTCAACTTCAGCTCGCTGAGTCTCGAATTTGGCTCGTTAATATTGATAAAAAAGACGAGTTCGAACCCATTTAGTTAATGAGTCGAGCTCTTCAATATATATAAGAATTGGGCCCGAGCCCTATTATAAAAAAATCAAAGTCAATGGTTGGTTTACATCTCCACATAGTACCTGTAGATGTGCATGATTTGTATATGCCTTAACTAAGTGCTACTTCGACCTAAGTGTCCAACCAAGTTTCGAACGATCGTATCACAAAATGCACACACACGTGTAGGTACGTGTTAATCAAACAACTCAAAACCCCTTATAGAGTGAAATTCACAATAAATATATATAATAGTACAGAATGAAGTTTGATTACGTGTAGCAATTAATGTGTTTTATTAATATACAAGAAGTCAAGAAATACATATAATCGACAATGATAGATTTGTCCACCAAGCATTTTTGTACACTTCTTAGGTGTTAATTTAAAAGCTAAACAGTAATAATAGTCGCTGCACTTAAACTTTTGAATGATATATGGCTATATTTTGATCACTCCAAAACAAGACCTTCGTTAGTTTAGCTCTTATTTTTTCCCCAAACGAACTAATCGTCAGTCAAATTGTGTTGAATTTATTTTACACACCTTTATGTTATGATAGTTTATATCAATCAATTTTGGTGACCCATTGGAAGAAAACACTGGAATTTCATAAAAAAAAATCCACGCACGGACAAATTCAGTTGGTGAAAAGGAAAAATTCATATAAAATACTACACCAATAATTGTAAATGATAAATAACTAAATAATTTAAATTCAATAAATAATGAATATATTTATAAACGTGTTCATATAAAATTGATAATAGAAAGCGAAAATACATTTTTCTTTACTATATTATTAGTTTATTACTAATTTACTATGTTCCAAATTAGCCTTTGGATATAGTCTTAGTTCATCTGACGGCTGATAATAACATATCATCAGACATCTAATTTTTTTCTTTTTTTTTTTCTTCAATTATTGAAATCTCTCAATCGAATATCAAATATAAATACTTAAATATACCACCGATCATCGTTCTTCCTTGTCCTGTTCACTTTTTATAGTCTCCGCCCCTTTCTCCTAGAGAAACGCCGCTGAAAAAAGTCCCTCAAAGGTATAATCTTTTCCGAAAATCACATATCTTTCTAAACGCACGGCCGATTTACTTTGCGTGCTCTTTCTTGGATGTACGAACTTGATTTTATTTG